ATTGACTTGGACGAAGTTGCTTATTTCCTTTGGGTATCATAACAAATGTAGCCATCAGTTTTAAGCTTTGTGAACGGTGATGGATTGAAAAAACTAGGTAGCTCTGAGTTCCTGTGATAAATATGCCTCTGTGTGACGTTCTAAATAATGATCATGATTCCAATTGCATAGAACCATTTTTGTGTGTTAATAAACAGGACAATTAAAATATCTTTGTATATATTTTGTCCTTTAAAAGGTCCAGTTCCAAAACTTGACGTCCTGGCTGTGGTATTATTTATAGATATAACATATAGAAACAAAGAGTCTACTAGGGTTTTTTCCCCAGGCCTAAATGACATTGATGCTCTTTTTCTAAAAGGTACATTAGATGGCTTCCTTTATTCCACACTGACTCTGTTGATCCCATATCTTTATTTTATTTAAAAGTGCTTTGTCACTGGCTGAGGAATTGCTCAGAGCAGCGTAGTCCTTTAAAAGTCAACCGGTGACACTCCTGCAGAGAGTGGGGCCTTCAGGTTCTTGTCACCACCACATGCGTTTGATGCAGTAGCAAAGGATGGTAACAATCTACTGCAGACCAATTCATCAGAACAAGGAAAAATTAATGTTGGCACTCAGTAACATTGTGGCAATAATTTCCTTCCACTGGGAAATATTAGTGACTGTTATAGATAGTAAAACTAAGCTAGCATACCTTTGGCCCCAATTCAGCAAAGCACTTAAGCACTCGCTTAAATCCCATTGACTTCAAGGATTAAATCCCAAAGCCAATGCGTTGCTTAAGTGCTTTGTGGAATAGGAGCTTTTACTATTATGCAGTCTTTTTATATGGGATAGCGCACTGGATTGGAACTCAGGAGACCGAGATTCTATTCCTGGATGAGCCACTGGCCTGCTGGGTGACCCTGACAAGTCACTTCTCTTCCTTTTGCCTCAGGTTCTCCATCTGTAAAAGGGGGATAATGATCGGAACTCCTAAGAACTAGGAATTATTATTATTAAAAAGTACCACCCCCCTTTCCAATAACTTTGGCAATACTCATTTAACTCCCTTCCCATTCACCATGGAGAATATCCCACAGAAAACAACCAGGCCACCTCCCCCATCCACCAAGCCCCACTCATGGTTTGGCTCAGCGAGTAGCAGTAGGCCAAGCATCTCTTAGAAGATCTGTCTCCAGCAGCTACGGAGCTTCTCACCTGTCCTCCCCCCACTTAACCTAGTTTAGTGAGTCAGTTTTATTAAGGTGCTGTGTAGGCAGGACCTCCCAGGAGTCCACTTAGTTCTGCTACTGCCTTTTGCAATAGCTGGTTCATGCAGCAAAGTCTTCCATCTACAACATCTCTCACCTAAGCTTCCATGGGAGGGGAGTCAAGAACTTTAGAACCCATCAGCAAAGCCCTGCTTGCTTAGAAATCTATTCCTTACTACAAGGATAAAAACTCGAGCCACTCTCCCAGCCTCTCTGGGAGGTGTCTACCCCCCAAAATCCAAGTTTACGTGTAGTTATGGTGAGCTCCCAAATAAGTGTCACTTGAGGAATTGGGGGTCGGTAGCCTATGCAATTAATGCTTTGTATGGCAGCACTTTTCCCTTTTCACCAACAGAGGGAGTAGAGAGCTCTTTCTCCTTTGGAGCTTCTGACCATAAGGTTTACACATAGAATATACGCAGGCATTGGTTACATTGATACTAGGGTGACCAGATGTCCCAATTTTATAGGGACAGTCCCAATTTTGGGGGCTTTTTCTTATATAGGCACCTATCACCCCCCACCCCCTGTCCCGATTTTTTACACTTGCTGTCTGGTCACCCTAATTGATACGCTCACAGTGTAACGCCCCTTTTCTGTTTTACGCTTCAGTTTTGTTAGTCCTGAAAAAATAGTAAATAGAATTTATTGTTACAAAAGTGATGCAGGTTTTTGAACTCAGCAGGTAAACAAACAGCACGATCTATCTATGGTACATATCTCACCACAGTGTCTGAGCACCTCACAGTCATTACTGTATTCATCTTCACCCCCCGCTCCCAGAATGTGAGATAGAGCAGGGCTATTATCAGTCACACAGGGAGAGGAAGGATGGTCTTGGTGGATGGGGCATTAGCTAGGGGCTTGGAAGATCTGGGTTTGATTCCCTGTTCCGTCACAGAGCCCCTGTGTGACCTTGGGCAAATCCGTGCCTCAGTTTCCCCCCATAAAATGGGGATACTTGCACAGCCCTTCCTCATGGGGCAGGGGGCTGTGTGTGAATAAATACATTAAAGGTTGCAAGGTGATGGTGGCCATATAAATCCCGCAGATGGATTAATTCCAGACTATCTAAGCTGAGTGTCCCACAGTCCAGGCTAGCACTCTAACCACTGAACCAGCCTTCCTCTTGTAACACAAAAGATGAACTGCACAGCCAGAAGTGAAAGTAAGCCGGTCTGGTCCAGTACGGTGTACTGGCACGAGCCGGTGTGCCGTGCCCGACCAGAGCGGCTTCCCCAGGCTGGCGATTTAAAGGGCGGGGGGCTCCCCGCAGCGGCCTGAGTCCCGGGCCCTTTAAATCGCCACCTGAGCCCTGCTGCTGGAGCCCTGGGTAGCGGCGACAGGGCTCCGTCGCCTACTGAAGCCAGAGCCCCAGGGCCTTTAAATCTTGATTTAAAGGGCCCGGGTATGTAAAGGCCCCGCCTCTTCCGGTTGAGGTCACGCCCCCTGCTCCAGACTCCAGCATACCGGTAAGTCCTTTCAGTTACTTTCACCCTTGTGCACAGCCCTTCTCCTGCGTGATTCTCCATTCATGTGGGCCACAGAGCGCTGGTGGTTGGCAGGGGAGCACAGCTGGCGAACTGAGCTCTGGGCTTTAGGGCAGCAGCACCTGGTGCCTCTGTGGGGGTGAACACACTTCCCCAGTCTCACAGAGGCAGGACCTAGTTAGTGAGGATACCCTATCGGGCAGCTCCGAGCTGCCTGCCATAAGGCTGAGGAAACCCCTGGGTGATGCCTCCTGCAACCTACCCACTCCTTGCAAAAACCTAGAACATGAACCCATCCCCCGGTGACTGTCCCAACCCCCTTCCAGTCTCTCTGTCTCCTCTCTACGCTGCTCCCACCAACCCGGTAGAAATTCTGCCACTCTCAAGGGATGTTGGTCTGTCCACACCTCTTGATGGTGTGCGAGAGGAGGGGCTGCCTGAGCCCAGCGACTGGCTTTTTAAGTGTGAGCAGCAGGCCTCATCGCTGCTGGAGGGCTGCCGTCTGACCCCGAGCCGCCTGGCTTAGTGATGCCTGGACCAGGACAACCCTGGCCTGCTGGGGCAGTGCCTTGTGCATCGCTGCCATCGTCTGCCGCTGGTGGTGGGATTTGGGCTGGGTCTGGGGCCTTGTCTCCCAATGAGGTGGGACAGTTGGAGCTCTCTGATTGGTTATCTGCCCCAGTTGCTCTCTCTCCCTGCTCCCCCTCCCCAAAGCCATTCATTCTCATGGAGGGGAGTGGGGAGGAGGCAGCTAGAGAACCCAGCAGCTATTATGCCCCCTCCTTCGGCTCCTCTCCTGTGAGCAATAGGGACAGGATGGCGACCCTGCTCCCCCCACCCCTTGCAGCACCCAGCCTGGGAATGGCTGGTAGGGATGAAAAGCCTCTGGAGCTGTTCCCTGAGCTGGGAAGGGGCAGAGGAGACCCCCCTGCAACCCCGCCAGGCCTGTGGGGGTGGGGTGAAGAACCCCAGGAGGACCGGAGGTGAAGCTGGGAAAGGTGCAACCGATGGGG